AAGTCCGCTGCTCCCTGTTCTATCATCGGCTTTTGAAAGAGTGTGCAAACTGTTTTAGCAAACTTACAAGAAGTACCTTGCACAACATTTAATTATCTAATATCTCTGAAATGAGTATGCCGTGGGACACCTGGGCACGATGATATCTTCACAACGAGATTTGGAATGGAACCACTTAGACATGGCTGAGAAAGCAATGAACCAGTAAATCTCCATACCCATGGTGTGATTTGCAATGAAAACAGTGGGCATTGCATAGTTAATCATATGAGGGTAGACAAATAATGGGTATCAAGAGCCTCGGCAGATGGCGCAGATAAGGTGGTTAACTGAACTTATGATATTCCCATGCGAATTGGACTTCTCATCATAATTTTGCCATTTACAATTTACTAACAAACTGTCAGCATGCATCTGGGTTGCAGCTATTCTTCGCAACAAATAAATTGTTTCTGTGCTGAATTTATTTTCCAATGGAATATTTATTTAAACACTACCGTAACACCATAGTTGGACTAATCTACTTTTAAGTCAATCTAGATGATTGGTCATTTTTAATAGAAATTGTAGAAGGACCCTTTGCTCTTCCGCACCTTATCTCGTTAATAGCTGACTTGTCCTAACTTCAGTATGAGCGATGTTCAGCTGGAACTATAGCTACACTCATTATTGTGACTAATATATGAAACAGAACATGTAGCATCAACATCAGCATGTTAACCGCTAGTCACTGATTTGCCGGGATTATTCAGCTTACACGGACGAGCCAACGTGTGGACACTTGCAACAAAAATTGTTGGGTCTTGAACACCGATTACATAAAGGAAATACATACATACATATAATACAATACACAAGGGAAAAATAGATACAACAATTGCATGCCAGCTGAGCTACCAGCAACGGATAGGCATCGTTCCGGTAAGCTACCAGCCAGCTACTAGGCAAAAAGAAAAATTTTTTATATTATGTTTTACCCTACGAAATGAGTTCGTTGATGGAGAGGTACGCTAAAGGGGATGGGGAGGGACAAAGAAACTCACAGCAGGAAAGCCACTGAGGTCGGCTCCTTGCCATGTCAGCAAGTGTATCCAGCCAAACGTGTTCACTATCTTTTGGACCCCAACCACGGAGCCGTGACGCTCCAACCGAGTCCAACTCCGAAGTGAGCGACTTCATTCCTCTGGACCAAGTCATCGCTTGGCCACCTCTCCTCTTCTTCCACCCACATCCCCAGTGAGCAAACAACGCACGTCGAGGGAGTCGGTGGTCTGGCATGCGTAACACGTGGCCCAGCCATCGGAGTCTGATGCGGGAAATAACGGTGCTGAGCGGTTCAGATCCTTCTCCTGGGCCGTAAACAATGCGTCGAGCACGCTCGTTACTCACGCGGTGTTCCCACCAGATGTGAGCCAAACTGCGAAGGCACCGATGGTCGAACGTAACTAGCCTCTTCATGTCCGCCGATCTTAGGGGCCAGGTTTCGCAACCGTACAGTAGGGTCGAACGTACCGCTGCATTGTACACTCCGCCCTTCAAGGCAAGAGTGATGTCGCGCCGCCGCCATAGGTGGCGAAAGTTAGCAAAAGCACTTCGAGCTTTCGCTATACGGTTCGTGATCTCGTCTTCGATCCCAAGGGCACTGATACAACTTCCCAGGTAGTTGAATTTCCGAACGACTTCTAGCTGATCCCCACCAAGGGTCAGCGCAGGAGGCGGTCCAGGCTAATTTTGGAGGAACGCTTTGCATTTTGTTGGTGCAAAGCAAAGCCCGAAGCGGCTGACAGCCAGTGCTAATCCGTCCAGCACGGCTTGACGCGTCTGGGAGCTGTCACAGATGAGGGCAATGTCGTCTGCATACTCCAAGTCAAGAACTCGTTCACCTGGAGTAGCTCCACACCTTCCAAGTCATGTCCTGTATATGCAATCTCCATGGCTTCGTCAATAGCGAAGTTGAAGAGGAAAGGTGACAACGAGCATCCTCATCTCACACCGCTGGAGATATTGAAGGGCGGCGACAGCTTGCCGTAAGCTCTCACTCTGCCGGTGCTACGCGCATATAATGCTTGAATAATATTTACATATTTCTCGGGCACACCTGAGTAAACAATTCCAAAGGGCACCTCGATCAACCGAATCGAAGGCACCTTTGATGTCGAGGAACACGACTACGGTGGGCCGTAAACGTGTGTGACGGTGCTCCAACAACTGACGCAAGGTGAAGATGTGGTCGATGCAGCCACGACCCCGACGAAACCCGGCTTGCTCCTCACGAATCTGGCTTTCACGAGCGCCAGTCAGTCTGTGAAGAATTATGGAGGCGAGTAATTTGGAGGCGATGGAGATCAGACTGATTCCTCTATGGTTGCCGCATTCCGAGTGCGAGCGGCATTTGAAGATGGGAACAATAACGGAGCGCCTCCAGTCGGTTGGGACAGTCTCCTGCTCCCACAGTTTCACTAGTAATTCACGTAAAGCATCAACAAGAGCAGAGCCTCCGAATTTGAAGAGGGCTGGAGGAAGATCATCTGGTTCCGCGTCTTTGTTCAACTTCAACAGCCCGATCTCACGTTCGACTTCTGAGCGAGAGGGTGGATGCAAAGGGACAGCCCACGGAGCAGGGCGATCACTGGCCGGCGAAGAATCGAACAATTTCAGCCGATTAAATTGCTTTTCAAAATGCTCAGCCCAACGCTCCAAACGTTTTGACAAATTGTGGATAGGCTGTCCACTGTCACCACAAATTGTTTCACTAACACCAGGTCTCCTGCTGCCCGTTTCCCGTATCAGACGGAATAACTTACGATGGTTACCAAGGGCAGCGGCCACTTCCATCTCTGACGCACGATGAGACCACCAAGATTCGCGGTCTCTCTTCAAGTGAGCACGGAGTCTTGCCCGGAGCTCTTTGCGAGTTTCATTGTGCTCACTTCCAGTCGGGATATGCCGGCGAGCGTCGATAAGTTCCAGAGACCGCGAAGAAAGCCAATGTCCATGTTGGTTATTAGACTTACCACATGAGGATTTGCCTGCTGCTTGTAAGGTCTGGCGAACATGTGACCAGTGACCATCAATTGTCTCCAGTGAGCGCTTACTCAACTCGCATGTCAGCGTACTTCGATACGCATTCAGAACAGCTGGCTTTGTCAGTTGGCTGGTGTCATTGCGCTCACAACGTCGTCGTGGGCGTCCGCCAAAGCGCATCCGCATGTCAGCACATACAAGTGCATGATCGGTGTCCACACATATGCTCCAAATCGAGCGACAGTTCTGGATGCAGCCTCTCCAGCGGTAACTGATTACAGCGTGATCGATCTGCGTCCAAGGCTGGTTCGAGGCTGGTGGGCGCCAAGTCACCCTCCAGCGGGTGCTGTGTCGGAAATTAGTGCTCGCAAGAAATAAGCGGGCATCTTCACACAAATGAAGTAACCGCTCACCGTTATCATTACGGGAGCCTGCACCGTGCTGACCACCCAGATGCATTTCATCAGTGGACAACTTTCCAACTTGTGCGTTCAGATCCCCGTCAGCACAACAGTGTCCGTGCTTCTTCTGTGGCGAAGGAGCTGGGTCAGTTGGCGGTAGAGGTCGTTCTTTACCGAATCATCGCTACAGTTTGTGGGCGCGTAGGCAGCGATGATGAATAGACACCTATTAGTCCCGCGCGACTTTGAAGCTTTAAACAAGCCAGCCAATCGGACCACACACATCCGGCTACTGACTGGAATTCAATCAACTGTCAGTTGTTGCCGCTTTCACGAGTGAGTTCAAACTCCGCAGACGTTATATTACCGTATTTATCTACGGGATTCCTTGCAGGTTGCAGTTTGGCATGGCCTCTGTTATAGCTATCATTCCCAAATATGCATGGAACCTCATTAAGAGGCCAGTAGTTGCCGCTTCTGACAAAGTAGCTCACAATGCTATTGGCGTGGTGCTAAATCTGGTTGGTCACAGATTCTAGCCTGCGTGGGGGACCGGGCGACCCTCGCAATAATTTTAGCCGACGTGCGACTACTGGTTTTTGCGCGACAAGGTAGCGTTGGTACTGCTTACCGGCGTACTGCCTGATGCCGGTAGATCGTTTAAGGTCGCAAATTACCGCACTACTTTAAACTAAAATCTCGCCACCTAAGTTGTTCGAGGAGTTATCTATACCTTTTCCTAGTCAATTACATCCGTAGCGCTTATATATCTCTTCCCAGGCAATTCATTTTCCTCCATAGATATCTCAAGACGGTCATTGCATCGACGCGCGCGAGTGCCTCTGCATGCTACTGTTTATTGCGTGACAAATCCCAAATCAACAGAGTGCACTCCACTTTGTGTACCCATATATTATACTACCGGCTGATTTGGTATCGGTCACTCAACGAACAGAACGCATTTTGCGTGTGATCCATCATCTTCTATAGTAGCAGTTCCATCAGGTGATTGAATGTCAAACCTAGAGTGCGCAGACGACAGCATCGTATATAATGGTTCAAGCGTGTATGCTTTCTTCCCCTACTTGGGGCTTTCCACTTCGTGTGAGAACCTGCTTGTCGTTTTATTGCGACGAAGCGAAACAACGCTGTTTTACTGTTTCCTGGATTTAATAACCCGTGACTTCGCCTCCCTCTGCTAGCCAATGATCGCTCCCATCGGACCTGATGCTCCTCACTCTCGGAAAACCTAACAAAGCTGTACCGTCTAGGTTTTGGCCGGGTATGTGAAAAATGCCCCAAGTTAGCACGATTTATACACTCATTTGTTAATCCAAACAATTAAACTACTCGCCGTCATCTTTGGCTTACCTGCGCAATTATTCATTGCTGTTGCCTGACACTAACACAGTGTTCCTTACGCGATGCTAATCATTCCGGTGCTGTGTCACTTCCACAGGGGGAATGTCGGTCTTCAATGGGCTTTCGTGTACCACACCTCTTTGGACTCAGAAACTCTTTTTGACGCCGAGAGAGTTTTACTCCATTGATAGCCGCTTTTCTGGCTTTTACGATATGTGGTTTAGTTTCACCATCCATCCATCAATATACTTTCCCGCACAACTTCCAGGGCTTTTATGCGATGGGTGAGTAGAGATGGACAGCCTCAATTCATATGTCAATAGGCGAATCACTATCGCATCCTGCTGGTGAGGACTATCTAAACTCCAGGATATCATTTACCTATTAATCTAGGATCGCCCCCATGTGAATCAACCAACCCTTTAGTAGCAAGTGGCATGTGGCCTTTTCTGTTGCCAGATCTCCGCAGCTAGAATCTTCGTAAGCCTTTATGAGATTTCTTTAACCTTCTTTTATTTTCACTCACAATTCTTGAGTACAGGCAAAGGAAACATGAATACAAGTATATAGTTGTTCGCCTCCAACATTGCTCAATCGGTCGGCTTCGTCTTAGCAAGTAACCGGAGTCGAGATTGGAAATCTGGACGTAGTTGTTGATGACTAATGTAAACCATTGAGCTCCTCGAGCAACGTTTGATGTATCGGTTGACAGTTTGTCACTAGATTTTGGAGTACTGCTGTTGTCACCACTGATGGTCATAATACCACTAAGATGCTGCACGGTGTTCCATGCACTTACAACTTAGTCACAGTTTGCTTAACTCGTCCAATAGTCTTTCGTCTATACATGCCAGCATTATCCATGCGTGTGCATACCTGTTTACTCATCAATCAAATTCCCTTTTCTTTATCTTCTCACCCGTGCACAGCAAATATTTGGTTCCTCGGCGCCCCGCACTGGCCCTGGTAGAGAAATCGAAGAAGATCTGGAGTAGCCCACCTTTTTTTTACCGCTAACCTCCACTTCCATTTCCTCAGACCAATGTACACTGACTCCAAATAAATTCCTGATGGTTTTTCGTATTCCTCTCTTTTCACCACATTTTTAGCTGCATCACGCGATCACGTATAGATCACATGGGCACCTGGGTTGATCTTGTGTACTTTTCAATTCCCTTTTCAGCTGCACCTATCATGCTTCGTGGCGTTTTACTTTGCTGGATTTCTCTACTTGGATATGCTTATAGTGACCGAGATCCTTTTGACATGTTTTCCGACACCGTTTCCTCCAAATTATCGCCAGCAGTAACCAGTGAACCTCATGCGCCGATAGCACTATCCGAGCCAGTTCTTTCACCCATTGCTGTAACATCGGAACCAACACATCCTGTCACTGTTTCCAGCGCTATCACTGCAGCCGAACACTATAAAGAATTGCATCGTGTGCTGGTTCGAATTTTTTGGAATCGAATACAGTTTGCCGAAACTATCGCCCCGAACGGCAAGCAAGCAATTCGTTTGCAGCTGATTGCCTCCCTCGCACCGGATGATCTGATCAAGTTGAAGCGCTATTGCAGCTTTAACGAAACTGTTGCCAAATCCGTCTCACCGGACATTATTAACTCCCTTTTCTCGCGACTTTTCCAGTCGGTTTCCGAAGCACCGGATGCCTCGGCAAGTTTGTTTCGGTGGCCGCACTGGCTTCATCAAAAGAACATCATCGGTATCGGCTTACTGCTCATCGTCCTTCTCATTATGGTAACCTTTATGGGTGTGAGACGTTTTCTCTGGCTCATTGTACCATCGCTTGTCATTACAGGTGTGCTACTGCAATCACTAATCAAGAAGTACCATGAACGCTTAGCGGAAAAGATGTCTGTTTTGTCAAAGTATCGTAATCCCCCTGAAGAGTGTAAACCTCCGCACTTGCAATCTTGGTTTCTGCGGTTCTCGAAAAAGTTTTCCTTGTCACCCTCACATGATGAATGTGCGCTTTACTACGAGCACGTCGTTACTGACACCTGGGTGAACACGAACTTCCTGGAAGCCTTTTGGGAGGCCGTTTTAGTTCCATGCGTTTCCTTTGGTAAGATGTTCGGAAAATCTCTAGGTTTGTTCTACGCCAACTTAGTCACACATGTCCCTGTTATCGTCGCGATTCCAATGTCTGTGCTTTGCTTCACCGTCCTCATAATCACCATTTTTGCTTTTTGGCGGTTTTTGCCATCCCATCCCCGTAAAAATAACCTTGTTAATAAGCGAAAACACAAAAAATGTCTTAAGACGCAGCCAGCACCATCGATGATTACCTCAGAGTGACATATCGTTCTTATTTCGGACGTGATTGTCTTTCATGTATATTTTTATATCCCATATGTAATGTCTCCTATCGTCTTGCGGGTGAGAGGAAAATGATACATACACTTCAAACATCGTGCCGTTTTGTGTTGACCATGAATCACTGTTCATCTCTGATTATACTTGCACATAAATCTTCTCATTCCTACCGTCTGATTTTTTCATGCGGATGGGAACGACTATAAGACCTAATACCTTGGAAGTTTTTCCACGTGATGCATTCAGTGTTTTGCATCTGGGGTATAACATTGTCACCTAACTCTTCGAATTCTCGCTCATGCACTGTTAGATCACCACACTCCTAGTTGCATTCATAACACTGTTCACTCAACTTTAATCTCCATGTTTTAATGGCAGCAACGTTCGTCAAGACAAGTGGGCGTGAGTACTGTCTTCACCCACTGATTTATTGTTCGTTTGAATAGTGTGGATTACGCACGCATGATTCCCCTATTATACAGATAGGAATGCTGCTGCTTTGCATGTTGAAGGAATGTGGGTCACCTCGGTTGATGAAACGTGGCTCCCATCCACATGCCTCTCGGTCTTATTCCTTCGGGTTTACACTGGATATGTGGTTGGAGCTGTGGGTGGTGTAGCGCAAACCACCCATGCTCCCTCTGTAGGCGCAGGCGTCCTGTGGCTGGCCACAGTGACAGGCAAAGCCGATATATATATATATATATATATATATATATATATATATATATATATATATATATATATATATATATATATATATATATATATACGCCTGCCCATCTTCTCTGCTAGACACGGGCGATCCGCGAGATAGTTTTACCCCGGCTGTTGTGCCTGTGTTGTTGATGGCTCGTTTAGCTGCTCACGATTGTTTTTAAGTTGTTTTAATTCTATCCGTCAGCGTTTTGTAAACTGGGTCTATCTCAACGTGCATGTTTATCGAGTGCTTCGTCGAATACCATGCCTCTAGGAACTCTCTTCGTTTTCATGTCTCTCCTTGTGCTAGGACCTCAGCGTTGTTCCAATCAGAGCGATATCCTTCTTCGTATGTATGTATTGAAACCAGTGAGAGAGCGTAGTGGGTCTTTCAACCTCTCTTATATTCTTGTAGACAGTTGTCTTCCTGTCTGACCCACATAGTTCTTCTCGCAATCTTGACACCGTATCTATTACGCAACATATCGTCTTTCTTGTGCTTCAGGACTAGCTTTGGGTTTCGACAGGCTTCTCCTCAAAGTGGCGGTTGGTTTGTGAGCCACTGTAAGACCGTGCTGTTTGAATAATCTTGCCGTCAGCTCGGAGATGTTCTTTATGTAAGGTAGAACGATCCTCTTTGTTGTCAGTTTGCGCAGACTGAGAGGTCTTAGCTTTGTGGTTTAGACATCGCCGGACAAAGCTGTGTGGATATCCATTTAAGTGAAATGGTCTGAATAGGTATATCTCTTCTTGCCGTTTCGCCTCAGGAGTGCTGCAATGTGTTTCATTTCTACGAAAACGAGTCCGCAAGCAGCTTATTTTGTGACATTTCAGGTGTTTGCTGTAGTAGTTTAAAATCTGGTCGGTGTGTGTTCCTTTCCCGTAAACCGATGTTTGCAACTCTCCGTCAATCGTCTTGCTGACTAACACATCCAGAAATGGGAGCTGGTCTTCTATCTCCGATTCCATCGTAAAATGAATGTCCTCGATGGCGTTACTGAGCAACTCGTATGCAGCCTCTACTTGACTACGTTTCAGTATCACGAATGTATCATCGACATATCGGATCCACAACTTTGGGTTGATTATGGGCAGTACGTCCTCTTCAAGTTTCTCCATTGCTATTTCTGCAACGAGTCCTGACACAGGGGATCCCACCTGTGCTCTTTCTGTTCCTGGATGAGTGACCCACAAACAACTGTGAAAAACGATTGCTTCCTTTGGAATCCAGGACCCCCACCCCTAGGCTGGCTATTGTCATACTTGAACGGCCGTTCTCTGGTACTCATCATAGCCGACCACCAGTCTTCAGCACGTCCAATCACCAGTGGTGTTATCCAAGGGAGTGAACTTGGTTCGGTAACGTTCCTGCTCTACGTGGACGATATCACTGCGATGGCATACCTTTCCTATTTGCAGATGACACAAAAATAGTCTACAAATTCCGACAAGCCGAACTGCAAGATAAACTACGGCTCATACAGGAAGACCTCCACACCCTTGAGAAATGGTGTGATACTTGGATAATGAAGTTCTCGGCGAAAATATGTATCATCTTGTATCGCGGTTGTTCGATACGCGAGGGATCAATTAGACTCAACGAGGAACATCTTTGTGTGCAGCTGTCTTTCCACGACCTCGGAATTAAGTATTCTTGCACCTTCAACTTCCTCGACCGAGTGAAATGCCTGCTGGTTAGGGCTAGAAAATCAGTGGCTAATATACTGTATAAGATCCCCATAACCCCAGCCAGAGTAGAACTCTTCAATATATTCACTCGCCTCATTTTAAACTATTGCAGTATCATTTGTGGCAACATGAAGAAATCTGACAGAGTATCTATGGGAAGTATACGGAGGTCATGTACTAAAGGTATGCAAGGCAAAACATCCACTAAGAACTATCGGAATCATTGCCAACAATTCCAGATCAATCGGCTTTGGCTACGGAGATTGAGGCATAATCTGACGCTTCTGTACAACATGATTCGTCAAAACACCCACTGCTATTTACCTTCCTTAGAATTACAGCATAGTTCGACAAGGGATGTTGACTGCGATTCCCATTGACGTGAACCTTTTCTTTCGATAACAAGAACCGTAGCTGATGCAAATAGAAATTGGGTGTTGCTCGGCCGAAAACACTGCACTACTATGACGCGTTTCGATGTTATTGCGTCTCATCAGATAGAGTTAGCAGGCATCAAACCCGGGACCATTGAGATGTTAGTTGTGACCGCTATTCCTAAGTCACCTGTTCACAACAGGCAACGCGTGTCACCACGGTTTAATGCATCATGTTGAGGCTCATTTTGACAAACGCCTTATGTGGATGGGTTGCGACGCGCGATCTCAATGTTGTCCGCGATTCCCATTGAAGTGAATCTTGGTCCTTGTGCGCGAAAGACCAAGGTTCACTTCAATGGGAATCGCGGTGGACATTGATATTGCGGGTTGCAATCTATCTACACAACTTGTACTTCAAAATTACCTTCAACATCAGTGTTCGGCCTAATTTTTCGGTAGGTTCACTTTAATTCACTCCTTACTACTTTCTCTTCGCCAGTAGTACATACACCTTTGGCTTTTTATTTTCTTTTTTGTACCTGCCCTGCATTCTAACCTGCGATCGCCTTGTGCAAGCCCAGAGATAAGTCCCTTACAAGCTAAGTACTTTGCTTGTACGCAACTGTGCATAATACAAACTGGTTACTGGCGTGACAGCGAACTGGCTGATACCCCTCTCACAGTCCAGATTGCGTTTCCCTTACCAATTGAAATGAAACCACCCACAAATGGCTCAAGTAGGATTTGCTATGCTATCGAGAATTACCGACAATTGTGTCAAGCGCGATGTATCTTAGGCTCTTGTGATTAATTCTAAATTGCCAACACACTACTTAAGGGCCGCGTTTGCTCGCTTATCAACAAGTTGGGCCCCATTTTGCGCCAATACACTCACTGATTTATAAATTCCTAAGAGTCACTTTTGACGTTGTAAGCACTCGAACTCATGGTAAACATTTCAAAATTAGATGTATGAGCAATAGCGAACGCCAAGGTGGTCGAAATGAATGTAGGAACCGCGTACTTTGTTTTACAAATCTTACATTAAGCCCTGATAACCCTCGTGTACTTGTTATCTTTAACGTTCTATGCTATTATCACCAAACATCATCAAAAGCGTCGTTTGACCATTGTTCCAGTCATAAAGTCCATAGACTCCCAATCTTGGAAGCGAGTTGCTATCCCGCATGTGAGTATTCTTGAATCCGAACCGAAATTTCAACCTACTAATTTCTTTTCTCCTACTTCAAAGTGGTCTTTATCTCCTGTCTCCCTAGTCTCACGGGCATATCGGCAGCTGCGTTTTCCCCCTATACGGAGAAATTCTACGAATACAAAGTAAATACGACAGGATAGCCTCAACGATGTTTTTGATGCGTTTCCTCACGCTTGCCCTTACATGTTCAGCGATGACTTTAAAGTTAATTACGCCTTCGAGCCGGCTTACCAGAAGGCTGCACTTCACAGCGTACAAACTGATCTAGTGGTCCTTGAGTCATCATCATCATCAACAGCAGTACGTCAGCCATTTGAACTGATGCTTCGCTGCCATACAACCATGAGGACCTATGAAATAAAATATAAGAAGAGGGAGAGAAGGGGGACTTGCCTGAAAACCTTAATGCCCTAAGCAAACATTCAGGGTCAAGGCGCCTACACCTTGTGTAGACAACATTCCGTCACAAGCAGCTGGCTATCGTGCAAAGATAAGGCAGCATCGGCGAGACAGCTTCCTTCCGGCTTTCACTGCCACGCGTCATAATCAGCCATTACCCCGCAGATAACTCAGCACCAAACACACTTTAAACAGGCAATCCGATTAGGAGACGGCAGCAGACGCGCCACTGGTGTCGGTTGCGAGCCATGTCCTGTAAAGTCTCGAGCCAAGCACAAGGTGAGTCACGTGGACTCCAGCCGGGAAGGCGAGACGGACAAACGGCACCCAGTTTGGTCGTCAATGACTTCAATTCCCGCTGCCAAGTCAACTTCTGTCCACATCGAGCCTTGCGCCATCCTACACCTGGAAGACTGAACAAGGCTCTTCTAGGTAAGCGGTGACCAGGCATGCGTAGCACGTGCCCAAGCCAACGCAACTTATTCAGTGCTATCTGTTGTTCTAAGGAGCTAGCGTGATTATCACCACCTAGTACTCGCCTACGCACATCATCGTTGGGGATACGCTGGTGCCATCCGACACCAGCAATGCTCCGCAGACAACGATGATCAAAAATTTGAAGGCGCGTCAGATCTTCAGACCGAAGGGGCCAAGTTTCACTACCATAGAGCAGAACGGCCCTCACTGTGGTCTTGTATACCCGGCCTTTCAGACGAAGGGAAACTCCCTTGAATTGTGGTACTCCACTATGAAAATGATCTCATTTGAAAAGTGCGATATTTTTTCATA